TTCTGGTAACCAGTTGTATGTACATTTCGATGTACGGGTACGAAATCTGCCATAATATATGCGTATGGCAGACTCCGTGTCTGTACAACCATATGTATATACATTTGAATGTACTGTCCCGAAATCTGCCATAACATATGCTTACGGCACATTCCAATCCCGGACAGGGCCTGAAAATCATAATTGAAACAACAAATATGCATATTTTTTGGTTTTATTATTCAAAATATTCTCCTCTGGCTTCAATACACTTGTTACAGCGATTCAATAGTGATTCAAATGCATGTTCTAGCTCAGTTTGCGGAATTGCCTCTAGTGCCTGTGTAGAAGCTGATTGGATGGTCGGAATGTCATCAAAAAAGCATCCTTTCAATTTCAATTTTGGGAATAATGAGAAGTCGCAGGGGGCCAAATCAGGTGAATACGGTGGATGGTTTAACACAGAGATACGATTTCGAGCCAAAAATTGACGGACAATCAATGATGTGTGACTCGGTGCATTATCATGCAACAAAGACCAATCTTCTGGATCACGATATTCGGAGCGAATACGATGAATTCTGCCCATCAATCGCTTTAAAACTTCGAGATAATATGCACCAGTAATTGTTTGGCCAGTTGGAACAAACTCTTTGTGGATAATACCTTTGCTATCAAAGAATGTGATGAGCATTGTCTTGATTTTTGATGGAACTTTTCGTACTTTTTTTGCTTGTGGTGAATTTTTTGACTTTCATTCCGCAATTCCATTCCGCATTTTGACGCTTAGTTTCTGAATCATATTGAAAGCACCATGTTTCATCACCCGTAACAATTGATTTTAGGAAGTTTGGATTATTTTCTGCGGTTGCAACGATGTCTCTGGAATGATTAATTCTCATTGATTTTTGATCACTTCTTAATATGTGTGGAACAAACTTCGCACAAACCTTCGTTTTACCCAAATCTTCATATAATATGGTTCGAATCGTTTCTCTACTGATATTTAAAGCCTCCTCCATCACTCTTAGTGATGCATTGCGATCGTTTGCAACAAAATCGCGTACTTTTTCGATCATTTCGGGTGTTCGAACCAAAATTGGCCGTCCTGATTTTTTGTCATCTTCAAGGTTCTCTCTGCCTTCCAAAAAACGCTTATGCCACTCAAAAACAACTGTACGACCTAGACATTGACTGCCGTAAACTTGTTGCATCAATCGGAATGTTTCTGATGCACTTTTATCAAGTTTTGCGTTGAATTTAATCACTGCTCTTTGTTCCATATTAAAATTTCTACCTCGACCAAAATCTTGTTTAACATGAAATGTCATATCTTCGTTATATGTCAACCAAAATGAATGAAACTTTGACAGATGATAGGGAAATGTTCAACCTTTAAAATGCATGTTTGAACGCACAGATGTCGCCACTGGTTGCTGAGATGTGGTTCGTGTTCGGGAACATATTTGTCGCACTGTGTACATTCATCCAAATGTATATACAATTGATTATACAGACCCGCAATGTGCCATACGCATGTATTATTGCAGATTTAGGGTCCGTACATTCAAATGTATATACATTTGGTTGTACAAACCTGGAATGTGCCACACGCATATATTATGGCAGATTTCGGGACAGTACATTCAAATGTATATACATATGGTTGTGCAGACACGGAATCTGCCATACGCATATATTATGGCAGATTTTGTACTCGTACATCGAAATGTGCATACAACTGGTTACCAGAAGGTTGTAACGTTTTCTTCTATGCATATTGCAACCGTTTTATGATTCGTCACACTGATTAGATTAATTAGCAAGACGAATAATTAAACGTTTACAGAACTGTTGTGTCTGCTAGACACGACTATATATTCGGTGAGCAATCGGAATTACGAAATACATCGAAGGAAAAGTGTTACAACCTTTTAGTGACAAGTTGTAAGTAAATTTCGATGTATAGACCCGAAATCTGCTATAACGTATGCGTATAGCAGATTCCAGGACATCTTGGAATTTTCTATAAGCATTTATATTTTGAGATATACACGGATAATGAAATGCCTAATTGCAAATTTTTACACTATCCTGGAGGTTTTGCTAACGGCGTGTTAGGTTTTTTTAATGGGGTCCTTCACCCGGAGATCTAGTATATCACTTATCTGCCATACACATATTTTGAGAAGCCCTTTTTTAAAAAAAAAGATGTGTTTATTTAAACAAATCTATATAAGTGAGTTTATTCAAAGTATGCTCCTTCGGAAGCGACAACTTTCTCCCACCTTTCCGGTAAACGTATTCCTCGAATGAAAAAATCTGGTTCTTTTGAAGCGATCCATTCATCAAGCTATTTTTTGATATCTTCATAAGAATTGAATCGTTCTCCAGAAAGGGCCGACTGCATGGATCGGAACAAATGGAAATCTGAAGGAGCAATGTCCGGTGAATACAGCGGGTGGGGCAGAATTTCCCACTTTACTCCTTTTAAGTATTTCTTGACCGGTTTTGCATCGTGTGGCCTAGCGTTGTCATGTAACAGAATCAGCTTGCTGTGCCTATTGTCCCATTCCGGCCTTTTTCTTTCAAAGCTTGGTTTAAACGTATCAGTTGTAGTCGATAACGATCGCCAGTGGTTTCGGACGGTTTGAGCAGCTCATAATATATAACACCTCTCTGATCCCACCAGATGCACAACATAATCTTCGAAGCATGGATATTTCGTTTTGGCGTTGATGGACCTGGTTCACCTGACATCACCCATGCTTTCAAGCGTTTAGGGTTATCGTAGTAGATCCATTTTTCATGGCCAGTTACGATACGATGTAGAAAACCCTTCCTTTGTTGTCGTTGACGAAGGATCTCGCAGATGACCAAACGTCTTTCCATGTCTCTCTCTTTCAATTTGAATGGCATCCAATTTCCTTCTTTTTGCACCATTCCCATTGCTTGTAGACATTTTCCAACAGTGGATCTATCAACATTTAACTCTTTTGACAACCTATCGAGCGATAAATATGAATCTTCTTCGAGTAAT